GATGTCAGTGGCGTTCTTGTTGTCAGTTTCTGTCCAGATTGCCTGAGTGAATGTCTGGAGGTGTAGGCACCTCGGAATGATTGTGTTAAGCTAGCACTAAGTCCCTCCCCCATCCACCTTTATTCTTTTCTTTACAATAAGGCTTTCAAATAAGTCATGGTTGTACGGCAGTGAAGCATCGGTGTTGAACACTGATCTCATGCTGTTGATGATGATGATATGCAGGGCTTGTGTACTCTCTGAGACACGATTAACCGAGGAAACCTTGCCGAACGATGATCCGGAGCTATCTAGCATGTAGAGATACCAAGAAGTTCGCTCTGAAGTAACAGGCAAAACTTTTGAAGAGAAGAGAATGCCACTACACTGACGTGGAGGCTAAATCAGCCACCACAATGATTAACATCAACACAAAAAAGTAAAGTGAACCACTCGACATTTAGTCTGCGAACGGATTATCCAGAATATGCAGCTGTAGAAAATCCCCTCAAACACGCACGACGACCATGGATTATTGCCCTGGTCGTCTAGTTTGTAGTTGGATTGGTCAAAACTATTTGGCCAAGTCTTTTTGAAAAGCCCCAAGGGGGATAGTTAACTAGAAATCTAATTCCTCAAAAGCTATGCTAGAGGGACGCTGCAAATTTTAGTTAGCCACCACAACTGAGATAATTCCCACTTGACCAAACGGCTCGCAGTTGATGTTGTAAGTGCCCTGTTTTCAATTCAGGGTGGCTTGGTAGTTGACTAAAGCAACCTATTAGTTGCAGGTGGTTGTGCGATTTGTAGAATTCACATCAGCCTAGTGTGAATCGTCATCCAGCTGTCCTGGTGCAATTATTCTGGTGACTCTACAACAAATCACTGGACTCGAGTTACGCTCTTGTCAGAGATCACTGTAACCTTGGCTGTATCTTGAACCCGGATGCGGTTTGGCTAGGATGGGAATTTCGGGCATCTGACATGGGAGGTGTCCAGCACACGTTGATGTTGCGTTTGAAATCAGGATTTGGCCACCTCCCATAGATGAAGAACGAATGTGCCGTCAGCCAGGATACAGCACTCGATACCTGTCCTTTCCACATAAGTGGAAACAGGCCACGAGAAGTCAGTGAACAGAAATTTCTGAAGCAAAAGCTGAATGGAGGTATATATCTTAGGAACGTTCAAAGAATAACTTTACTTGTTTACCAAAGCACCCATCCTCCGTCATTCTTGGGCATATGCTCAGCATGGTTGTTTATGGCAAAAGAATCATGTGGAAGAAAGCGAAATCCTTTATGCATCCCAGTGGTGCTGAACGATTCATACCAGTAGTCCGACGATCTCACACTTGAAATCGTGTGTCAACTTTTATCCCACGGCTCGGTGTTATCTTCGCCAAACGAGTTGCCCTGACAGTAGTGTTGGAGGAAACTGACAAAAGCTCTCCGCCAGCCCATTAGTGATTTCGCTTATCAGGTAAGCCAGGGTTAACGTGAACACCACCTCAAACTTCCCCATCGTAATAATCGGAAAATAAGACAATGAAATTATCGAAACCAGGGACCTAATGCCTAGTGGATGATCCCCAAATGGAGTGGAATCAGGGATATGCCATCTGAAAATCTAAACAAGTTGCTAATAAAGAATAAAAAACTTGGACATTTTGAAGATCTGCCTTGTGGGGGGGGGTCTTTGCGCTACAGATTCAGTTGAAGGGAATCACAAACAAGACATTCACTGCATGCTTGACTGCACTCTGCATTCAAACCAATTTTTACGTGAAGTCTTCGCTAGCCTGACGCACCGCATTGCTGACGTCCATGCCACTCGAGCCACGACGACGGGAGAGTAGATTCGACGAATCCAGGAAACTGGGCAAAAAAAGAAAAAGAAACCGGGAAAATACAAACACTACTAGCATATACGAACAGGTAGTAGAATATAGAAGATACTGGATGGTGAATGAGGAAACCCTAATGATCAAATGATCTGCACTCCATACCGAAACCGACAAAGATTTATGGCCGAAAAACCCACCGTCGTTCGAAACAGATGAAACGTAATAATCCAAATATTCTAGAAGCAAGGTTACTGAATTGTCTAACGCGACACTGATAGACCAGACTTGAAGTAAGGAGGAAGGTTGAATGTACCAATGCAACGTGTATTTCTCCAACCAACTGATAACTACTGGCCCAGCATGCTTCCGATTCGCGGAACCTATTTATTAACCCAGCCACTGAGATCTCAACAGCTAGGCAGACAAGCTGATGTACTTGACGAGTAAACAGCGACTAGAAGGCAATTTGATGCAAGTCTAGAATGTTCGGATCATTTCCCTTAGGAGCCACGAAGCTAGCAATGGGAATCAGAGTGGCGCGAGCAGAGACATGCCCAGCCCTTGACTTGTCAGAGGAGTATTGAAGAGATTACGAAAAGTCTGGGTGTTGTCGGTGCCATTCCAGGATGGGGACCGCATGATCCCCACTGTGCCCAATTGCAAGTTATGGCTGCTAATTTGTGTCAGTGGCGTTTTTGTCGTCATTTTATATCCAGATCGCCTAAACAGGTGTCCAACACTGATGCCTCGCCGCCGTTCAGCCATGATTTATTTGAAAGCCTTATTGTGAAGAAAAGAATAAAAGTGAACACAGAATGGACTCCCTCACAACAATCATTCCGAGGTGCTTGCAGCTCCAGACACTCATTCAGGCAATCTGGATAGAAACTGACAACACGAATGCCACTGACATCGATTAGCAGCCACATCATGCAGCGTGCAGTGGAGATCACGCGATCCCCATCCTGGAAGGCCACCACATATAGTATTTCTCCAAAAGGAGGCTTTCAAATAAATTATGGTTGTACGGTAGCGAAGCATCAGTGTTGAATACTGACGTCATGCTGACGGTGACGATAACATGAGTTCAGATAGGGAAATAAGTGGTTTTGTTACCACAACACGCACCAACCACCAGAAAATAAGTCCCAGTAAGTTGGAATTTTTTCGACAAATCTCTTCGGAGAAGGAACCTCCTCAGAGAAGAAAGCATAGAGTTTTTGCTTCCCAAAATGGGTGAATCATTTCCACGAAGGTAAGGCCGAAATGGCAAACACTCGGTTATATCCTACGAAAAGTGTGTTGTCGGTGCCATTCCAGGATGGGGACCGCATGATCCCCACTGTGCCCAATTGCAAGTTATGGCTGCTAATTTGTGTCAGTGGCGTTTTTGTCGTCATTTTATATCCAGATCGCCTAAACAGGTGTCCAACACTGATGCCTCGCCGCCGTTCAGCCATGATTTATTTGAAAGCCTTATTGTGAAGAAAAGAATAAAAGTGGACACAGAATGGACTACCTCACAACAATCATTCCGAGGTGCTTGCAGCTCCAGACACTCATTCAGGCAATCTGGATAGAAACTGACAACACGAATGCCACTGACATCGATTAGCAGCCACATCATGCAGCGTGCAGTGGAGATCACGCGATCCCCATCCTGGAAGGCCACCACATATAGTATTTCTCCAAAAGGAGGCTTTCAAATAAATTATGGTTGTACGGTAGCGAAGCATCAGTGTTGAATACTGACGTCATGCTGACGGTGACGATAACATGAGTTCAGATAGGGAAATAAGTGGTTTTGTTACCACAACACGCACCAACCACCAGAAAATAAGTCCCAGTAAGTTGGAATTTTTTCGACAAATCTCTTCGGAGAAGGAACCTCCTCAGAGAAGAAAGCATAGAGTTTTTGCTTCCCAAAATGGGTGAATCATTTCCACGAAGTTAAGGCCGAAATGGCAAACACTCGGTTATATCCTGGTTCTATCAATCGACAACCAAACGAAACACCACCCCAGATACAGCCTGTCTATACATGCTTGATTGAAAACAATATACCTCGTCATCCAGGAACTGAAGGCACTGAGGAAAGATTATCGCGGTAACTTGGTGGCATTTGTCTCAGAGCAGCTTTCGTGAACCTGCGTAACCTGTGGCGTAGGCGTGATGTCAGCCTATCCATCATTGGTCGTGTTTCAATGCTGCGGTGCGCTCCGTATTATCATACGGATCAGAAGCCTGACCGCTGCGCACCAAGGATATCAAATGACTTTCAGTGTTTGACCATCGATGTCCGCGAAGCAATGCCCGAGTCTGGTGGGAACACCGGATAAGCAGTACTGAAGTACGTTGAATTGTATTCGGAGGAGAAAACTCACCCTCGATAGATGAACTAATCACACTGCATAGGTTGCGCTTGCCAGTCGCATGACAGTCGACCAACTTCCTGGAAGGGTTCTTTTTGCACAGCCAGGTGAAGGGTGGAAGAGAGCCAGAGGCGGTCAAACAATGGCTTGGCAGCGAAGTATAGAAGCCATTACCAGACGGGCCAAGTCAATGGTCCAGTCGCGCCCTCAATGGCGCTCGTGCATCCAGGCTATTACCTTCATTGCATAGCTCTCTTCCCGATCCCCCCACTTAACAGTCCACCAATTTATCAGCTCCTCCGTTCAACGCACAGCTACATATCCCACCTCCACAGGGCATCGGTGAACGAAACTGTAGCAGCTACAACCACTGTACGACAAATACGCGGTTCTCACAGCTGACTGGATACTTAGACCTTTGGTTCTTTTTTTAAAAAAAAATTTCACTCCAACAGAAAAAAAACTGTTGAAACTTCCACAGGTACCTGAAGTATTGTGAACCAACGACAAAAGCCGTTCGGGATGGTTAGTTTAATGACTGATAAGGAGGAGATATTTCTGTTTACATAGGCAATGTTTCTTCCTGGGGAGGGGGTATTGTAGTATGCAAACCGCTAGCAGACTAGCTCTGTTATTCACTTACCGTAAGGCACTTTCAGCAAGCACCGGAAGACAGCGTGAGTAGGTCAAGCGCACTTCCATTTTCGGATCGACACTTAGTGGCGCCAGTGTGGGAAAGAGATATTCGGTTAAAAAATACACTTCCAATGAATGGGGAGTTTTGGACTGATTCGCTGTGTATTCGGTGGCTTTTCTCAGTATCTGAGTGAGACACTCCAGCGCCAAGCTCCGAACCTCGCCTGAATGAACTGGAGACGTGAGATCCACGCAGTACGGTATGATGCGGTCGAAAAACAAAGAAACATTCATGTATTTTGACAGCTCCAGGTAGCAGAGTAAGGCATTCACCTTACCGTATTCTAATAGCCGACGCTCGACAAACGAACCGGTTGCCATATCTCCTGAGATTTGGCGTTGCTTGTTCACGTCGTGAACTGGGATCGCATCTTCCTTTTGGACTGAGGACATTGGCAATGCCATGGTGCTCGGAGTTTGAGTGATGAAACAGTTACCAGAAGGACGTAGAACACTGGTGACTAGATTACACAGAAGGACTGCACACGTACTCAAACTGTCGGCATCACATTCAGCAATTTCTTGTAACAAAGACGACAGCGTGCTGCGATAGGGTAGCAGAAAATGAGATCAGTTAGCTTACTAGCAAGCGTTGCTTTAAGTTAAAAAACAAATGCCCTAGAACATTTGATTTCGTTTTGCGAAAGTAAACACACCTTTTGGAAAACAGCAATCCTGATAGTCAAGTAAGTTTTTTCTCTTCGGCAACCGGCGGATTACATGTACCAAACTGGTAAGTCGTTCACCTACTACATTTAAAACGATAGAGAAAAGAACCCATCAGTGATTTCTTCAATTCATATGTAAAGGTTATTGTGAAAGCACCTTTGGCGAACAACGCCGGTGGTGTACGGTCCGAATGTCAATTTCAAGAAGGTCTCAAGGTGAGGATTCACATGTTTGCAGACGGCCTTGTGACGTTTGCGAATATGCATATTGAACTGGAAAACCCATCAGACGAGTTTGGGGCTACTGTCGCACAGTCTGGCCTATTCATCAAAGCAAAAACCTTAATTGTGTACCAATCGGAGTCTCCAATACTACCTCGATACCGTAGCAGAGTTTGTGGACCACTGTACAATTCTCTGTTACTTCGGTAACACAGCTGATCTGACTGTTGGATGTGAGCCGAGAAACCGTGTAGCGGAAGACAGTGTGCTCTCGGGCAAACTCGAGAAACGGGTATGACGAACCGCGACCCGTAGCCAGAGACTTTCTGTACGGTATCTAAAGAGTGATCATGTGCCGATGCAAAATACAATCCTTGAGCAATCTACAAGTGCAACACCTGAGCCGGACGCTTGGCATTAGCTGGACCAGAGGGAGCACCTTAACGGGATGGAGACTGTGGTTATACGCAACACTCTACATTTCCTGAGTGGAGGGAAACTGGGTCCTTACGCAGCTACTCTATGGTTCACAAATATCAGGAAACAAAAACCCAGTGGACAGTATTGAATTTCGGATACAGTGGAAAGGCTGAAAGCCAACAACGTCGAAGTGATAAAATAGGGTACGGGATCATAAAACAAGAATGCATGCAGGGCAATGATGGTGTCCGTCAATTCAGCGACCATCATCTTCGGGTCAGAGAACTAAGGCACACAATAATCAACGGCAGCTTGAAAAGTACATAGCCTGGGAACAGCTCAGGTTGGTCACTGTGGCGCGGTGGCTTAACCAATCATTCGACGAATACTATACATCGGTCCACTGCATCGCTCCGCTGGCAATGACCGATCAGAAATTTCCACCAACCATGGTCAAATGAACGATCCAGTTGTGTTCGTTCACTCAGTGTAGTCTGCCGACCTTAAAGTTGACGATACTATTGGATTTCAAAAAGCTCAGCCACACGAGGCCATATGCGATTGTCAGGGCAACCGTGGGAACTGACGGCTCGTTCGGTCGAAAAATCTGACTACTCGATTAGCTGCAAAAAACGTTCAGGATCAACGGAAAAGTGATCGTTTTAGAAAAAGTTGATTAGACGGTGAATCCGGTAATAAACCCACCAACCGACTGTTTACCAAACCTTCCTGAGAAAATCTGACTACCCATTTTCCGACTAAGTAAACGCCTAGTTATTGGAACCAACACCTGCGCGAGAGAGCGGAGGAAGCCACCTGAAGTCAGGAGACTGTAACGTTCTTCTGATGAGCCTCACAAGGATAAATAACACAATGTTGGCTAGTGTCTCTGGGTCCGGTGGCACTATTTATGATCTGAAATCACAAAGTTGGCCACAACATCCTCCCAGACAAACCACATCAGAATGCTGTGGTGATAGGCCGGATCAAATCGCCCGGTGCCAGACGGGCACAACTATTCTATTTGGTCTAAGACCAAAGGCTTTTATCCATATGTAATGTGGCATAAAACAACTGTAATACAGTAAAAAGGACTTTGAGGAAATGCACGGAGGAAAAGGTGTGGTTTGACGGTGGGACAGATGGTAAGTGGATCCGCACACCATTCCGCAAGTTTGTATGTCAACTTACCGACGGATGTACACTATTCGCACGGTTGGATTACGGAGACCCACACGAAGAAAAGTCTGCATATATGGAAGGAGATGGGAATAGAACACTTCTGGGAACGCCTTTCCTCTCTGGTTATCCAAATGTCCTTCAGCTGAGCCACGTTCATTAGGATCGAGAGATAGGAGACTGGAAATCAAAATCTATGGGTAGAAAGAGAACGAGATAAACCCTATGGGGACTTGAACTCTTCGTCTATTAGGAGGAGTGCGATGCAAAGTGGTGAACACTTGACGCGGAAAAACCAAAAATGAGAACGGCATTTACATACCAATTTGGTTTTGGGGGGGGGGGAATCAACTGAATCCCTCGTTTATGATATAAAAACAACTTTGATGTAACAAAAAGCACGTCAATATTCAAATAATTTTCTACTGTAATGGGCCCACAAAAACGCCCCCTAGAAAGTTTTCATTAGTTCAGACATGCCGTTGAGAATACGCACTCCAAATTTTCTCCAACCCGATTGTGCAGCTCAGAAACCTAGCCGGTTGCCGATGCAAGTGAAGTGTAGAGGTTTCAAGTGCTACAGTATCATGAATCATGGATAGGGGAAACAAGGGGATGATAGATGCACAGTGGAGACAATAATTTCATTGACACTAAATCACTGTGTTTGCTGGAGAAAACTGAGAATGAGAAAGCTATCCATTGAGAGAAATAGCTTTGATGTAGAAAGGCCACTGATTATTTATCATAGTCAATGGTCTGTCTTGGTCCGAAGTCCAGAGAACACACATACATAACTGTACAGTTGAGCACCCTTGCGCTACCTACCTGCCATGCCACCAGAAGGAGGAAGCACGAAGTTCAAGACACTACCAGGTTACCCAAGCCTAAAAAGGAGCAGTCGAGATGCGGATACCGGGTTAGAAACACGAACCTTGCGGCTAGCAAGTTCGCGCCGTAACCACTGAGCCATCTAGAGCTCCCACGACTAGAAAAGGAAAGTGTCAGGTGTGGAAAGGAGCGAAATCAGAAAAATGTATTCACAAGAGCCATATTTCAAATCTCCTGGGTACGTTCCCATAGCACTAAGAACGGAGTGTTTGGGTGAAATATTTGGACTTACTTTGATGTCCTCACAGTGGATTTGCTCAAGCAGTTTAGACAGTCGGCTGGTATCGTTCGCACGATAGCCTAACAGATCAGCCAAAGTGAATGCGACAGATCCGTCGGTAAAGAGCTCTAAGAACACGCAGCTGAAACGAAAACATTTTGCAGCAAAATGCAACAATCGAATGCGCATGAACGAGGAGTATAAAGAATTGAGCTTTGGGACATTAGAACAAAGCACATGACAGGGAAAATTAATTTCTAGGATGCTCGAAGCAAGGCGCCACTAGAATACTATCATTCAGGCGTTATTGTAAACATTCTCCATAGAAAACTTAAAGTTGCACGGCCGGAGAGCAACTGATTTCAGTCGTAGTGTGCCTTGGAACATTTTTTGAAAGACGCCTGTTCGGTAGCTGGTTTCTAAACCCAACTGTTAGATAAAAAAGAATCAGCCGCTGAAGAAGTTAGGAGCCACACCTTATAGATCAAATTCCAAAGATAACCGGGTGATGTAAACCACTGGGTTTAACACCAACATATCAAAGGGTCACGCAACCAATCCCTTTGCATCAAAATCATGTAACTGAGCAATTCGGGCACTGACCGAGCTTGTAGTGAAGCAGCTGTGAGCAACAAAAAAATTTTGCGGGCATCCTTCCACTCTATGCCTTGCTTCTAAAGTTGGACACATTCAGTGTCAGTCACAAAATGACCCCAACTGAGGGAACGCCTATGAACGCCGAATTTTAGGCGACCAGTTATTCGGTTACAAATTGCACACCACGAGTAAGTTGGTTTCAGTTACCACGTATTCGCCCATCAATGACAGGGAAATGAGAAGGTGGATACACTGCATTGCAGGCGACGGCCTAACTATCTCAAGGAGACTGATTTATCATTGATCAAGGTTAGAATCCGGATGGCTATGCACTTAAGGTAACTGCGTCAATGCAGGGCTGGCTACGTGATCTGCTCATGCGCGCCGAAGGAGACTATGAACCATAGGCTTGGGTTCCTGGTGGGCCTTCTGGCACGTCTCCGATTAACTACAAAGCGACTTGTCAGGATGATGTGGAACAACGTATTTGGACCCTGTCAATTTCCCTAGAGTTCTGGTACTGATAAACAACTTATCCATGATTAACCCAGACTAAATCAGCGAAATAGGCGCACGGCTGTTACTGATTCATCGACCGTAGCTGGGCTACTGCTCGACTATCATACAAGCACAGTTTGTTAAGTATCTGAACGGGCGCATTCAATCACTATACGCTATTTGAGAGCGAGCGCACAATCTGTAACTGCGACGCGAGCCAGTGAAAAAAGACCGGAACTTCGGACAGCATCTCACTGCCTTAGCCAGAGGCGAAATACAGAGACACCATTGTCCTTGAGGAACAATAAGTTCATTACCACACACAAAGTGCAACTGGTTTACGGGGAAGCGCGGTCCCTGTGGAATAAGGCTCAACATGGATGACAAGGTGCAATAACTTGAGAATTAAACAGCGCACTGAAGATGTCTCCTCGAATGGTGACGAAACGTTTGCAAATCAATTGCCAAGCTCGGCGAACACATCAACAGCCACCTGATCAACTACCAATTAAACAGGTTTTGGGGATGCTGATATCCCCAACACAGCCAATTAATCTGAAAACGAGACATAGTCACCACACGCTAGTATTAAGGGCTACCGTTGGGCTCCGAAAGGACCACTGTAAGGTCTTAGATGGGGGTTTCAGATCAATGTAGAAACGAGACACAATTGGTGAAGTTAAACCTATATTTGAAAAACAATTTCTGATTTTCGTACATCTACCTACCCTTTTCCCAGTGTTGTCGTGCATTACCAAGATCCTTTGGATCACCACAGACTTGGTTAGGACAGGTATGTAATCACATTAGAAAGTCACGAGTGATGGGAGCCACCCACATGAATCTATCCTAGAATCCTGCACTGAACCCGACCCTATTCACGGTAGCCCGGACGCATACAGGTAGTATCTGGACCAAGAAACTGTGTTCGTTCCCCGCCTATGTTCGTTTGATTTTATGTGCTCAATGATCCGGGTAGTCACGAGAGATGAATAACGGTTATGTAGCTATTACTGACCTTATCTTATTACTGGTTTTACTCAGCTTAGTAACACCCAATTTCTGGGTGAAGTGATGTGTAAAAATGGTAGGTCCCATATCTCCTGGAGATCCCAATTACACCAAAGAGGACGGATTTTGGCGAGCCTCGCATGTGTGCAGTGTAGTGAATGTACAGTGTAGTGTGAATTCATGAATAGATGTACGTGAAAACAGAAAATACATAACAACACGGGGATATTCACTAGAAGTATGGTTATAAAAACAGGTTAGAAAATGATCTACTCATCGAATCACGTCACAATGTATCAAAACAAACAGCTAGATAAGTTATGATTGCCAAGCACAGACCCCTGGTTCACACAAGGACTGGTGCGACGGTTCACCGAGTATAGCAAACGGGGCTCAGCTTTTCTATAAACGCCATGTTGACGGTTTCGCTGAGATCAGCGAACATCACAATGGTAGCGATTGGTGTGCGTGAATCAAACAAACTGCCGATTTTAACCCATCCACCAAAACTTATTCGGAATATGACTACTCACTAGTAGTCAAGAGTCCGAATCTTGTTACACGCACCTGATGAACCCCAGTCCGGATGAAAGTTATGGTGGATTATCCTTCCATAGGTGAATGCTTCTGGTTTATGGACGACCAACCTTTCCAGACATCGCGGTCACGCACTATCTAGAAAATTAACATTTAAGAACTCCTCACCATCAGATCTGACTGGCACTTACATCATCACGTTTATAAAATAATGACAGAAAGAATGGAATTAACGAAGCTTCACCACGGCAAGTAGTACTTACCCAACTGAGAATAAATCCATGGCTGGAACCAAATTCACCCTAGGGGTTGGGTCATTTAGCGTGGTCCGCGCAGGTATTTGCAGAGCGATTTTATCCACAATGGATTCCGAAACCATATCTGGCGTACCCTGTGTGACGAATGCAGGCGTTAAACCCGACGGTTCCGAAGGTGTGTTATGTCTGTTTTCGTCTGAACTCCTGGGTTTCTCGCCACTCTCACCACTACCAGGTTGGGCACCACCAATCTGGACACGACCATCCTGCACAAACGAAGAAACAAAGACGTCATGAGATTGCTGCCATTCTGTTCATAAACCAAGTGACTTTTCAGTCATTAAACAGCCTCCGTACTTCATCGACTAGTCAGATCGATCAGTTTGTTTGTGGTCACCTCTGGAATCATCATCATCATCATCAATGACAGCAACATCAGTGTTGGCACTGATGCTTCACTGCCGTACAACCATAAAGTTCGTTTAGTTATATATATATATATATATAATTGTATTAAAAGCCCTACAGTGAAGAGAAGAGAAACAGAGTGGGTGAGGGAGGGGACCCAGTGCTGGCCTATGTCAAGCATACTGATGTGCCTACACCTCCAACCGCTCAATCAGACAATCTGGAAAGAAACTGACAGCACGAACGCCACTGACATCGATTAGCCGCCATTTCTTGCAACGTCTCCAGCCAAGCACAGATGGGGTCACGGGGACCCCATCCTGGAAGTCTCACCACACCAACAACACCCAAACTCTTCGTGATCTCTTTCACGCCTTTTTGCCAAGTCATGTGCTGTCCACCTCGCGGTTTGCGCCATCCTGAAGGAGGCACGGAGAACAACACTCGTCTCGGTAGACGGTGTTTCGGCATGCGTAGCACATGACCGAGCCATCGCAGTCGATGATGCTGGATGTGTTCCCGGACTGAGGTGCCTGCAGCACAACCAAATACCCGTTTTCTAATCGCCTCGTTGCTGATACGCTGACGCCATCCGAAACCAGCCACGCTTCTGAGGCATCGGTGGTCGAAAACCTGAAGACGCCTCACATCATCTACCCGAAGAGGCCATGTCTCGCACCCATACAACAACACAGCCCTTACTGTAGCCTGGTACACACGACCCTTAAGATCCAGTGAGATGCCTTTTTGACGCCAAAAGTGACGCAAATTAGCAAACGTGATTCGAGCCTTTGAGATTCTTGCGCTGACTTCATCAGACACACTTCCGTCAGAGCTAATGCAACTACCGAGGTATGTAAAGTTTTCCACAACCTCCAGTGGCTCTCCTTGAACTGTAAGGGATATGTTCGCAGATGGCACGTTCTGAAGCAGGACTTTGCATGGTAGGTAGTCAGGCCATAACTTATGGAGCTGTGGTTCGAGCTCAGCCTACGAAACGGTACGCGTTTGTAAAATAGGAGGCGAGATCACATACCAGCATGGCAGTCTACTGTAATTGGTGAAGGGGAGACACTAAGGCAGAGTGGTCCATAAATCATTACTAGTAACTGATAATAAGTCAGTATTAACAATAATACGTAATAATAGTAAGCAATAATGAGTGCCAAATCTGCCTGGCGCATTAAGACTTGTTTGAAAACAAATGTTTACATCGGACATAGTACTAAAACCCGACATGTTACAAAACTAAGCAGGTTGCTACTCGATTCCTGACCCGCCCGCACTGAGTGAATTCACTTGGTAAATTCACCAACCCGGGGGGGGGGGTCGATCCATCCTAGCTG